GTGTGTTACTAAATGTCCCGTGTTAAGTGAGGAAGAAGTCTGAGAAGTTCGACTTTGCTCTGTCACTAACTAGTGAACCACGTCTTTCAATGAGACTCCTACTAAAGAGATTATTCATTTCTGGGAAGCTACATGAATTCATTCAGGCCAAATAGTATATTCAGTTGTAAGTTTCTTTGGAATTCTGTCTTTGGTATTTATCAATATCTTAATCAATATCCAATAAATCAATATGTAATAAGTATTTGATTCATGGAAATGTGCTAATTGACCTGCCACTGGCTTCAGCAAGTTCAAATCTGGCTTGAATCCTCCACTGACTTTTGAGTGGGTCTAACTTTGAACATGGAGTGGGTCTAACTTCACAAGCTCATCCATGGGGTCTCTGTCTCCATCACATTCTCTATGTCAGCCTCGCTTAACATGCAGACAGGATCCTAGAGGTGGAAATGTGGTCCCTCATCCTTACCCCAGAAACCCTTGAGAGCTTTAATGGCTACAATATAACCAGATCACTGCAGGCAACTCTGAATTTTTAGGAACATTTTTACTCTTAGACATCAAGGTATTCTGAGAATGAATGGGTCCAATTCTCCCTTTCTAGAGTGAGTGGCCTGTCATCCTTCATCCAGCAGATCCGGCTGGGCTTTGAGAAATAAGGCACTTTAGTATTGAGAGCATTTTCACTTTAGCTTATGTTTTCTTGGGAAATTGCTTAACTTCTTTTAGCCCCAAAGTCACCTATAACATGCTTTGCAGACTAAATTAAGAAACATATCAAAATATTACTTTAATGATTTTAACATGATCTACTTGAGCTTAGCTAAAAGGCCAAGAAATTATAACATTTAGAATGTAGCTGTTATGATCATAAACACTCTTCAAACATGTGTTACTGATAATGTTATGTATAGAAAGCCCTGAATGGGAAATCATCCTAGGTTGAGAAGACTATTTTTTGGGGGAGGGACAGGGCACTAGACCACTGAACCATATCCCCAACCCTTTTTGTATTTTATTTAGAGACAGGATCTCACTGTGTTGCTTAGGGACTCACTGAACTGCTTTGGGCCTTGCTAAGTTGCTGAGGCTGGCTTTGAACTCATGATCTTCCAGCCTCAGCCTCCCAAGCCACTGGGATTACAGGTGTGCGCCACCATGTCCAATGAGAAGAGTTTCATTTTAAGGGGATATTTAGCTGAAACTGGCCAAAATTTTTCTAAAAATACTCTAAATAGAAAAGACTAAAAGCAGTTCTTACATATTTTGATAAAAATTTAATATGAAGAAATAATACATTATGAAAGTAGTGTCTTATTCTATCCCATTTAACTGAGATTAATATCTAAACATACGTAAGAATTCATCTTTTTTTTTCTGGTTTCTCAAAGTTCTTTAAACTATTCTAGGTGTTTTATGCAAACATGGGCAACCTTTGTGAAACAAATCAATCAGGCCCCAAACTCCCTTTATGGACTAGAATTATCCAGTTTAGCTCTGTGAATACATCAGATTGGTGAAAAATTCAACTTTTTCTTTCCACTTTGCCCTAAGCAATCACAGTCTCCCCAAAGTTTTTTTTTTTCCTGGCATCTTTACAACATACTTCTATAAATAGACTCATTTCTCCTTCCTCAAAACAATTACCCTTTCAGTTAAATCAGTATCAAAATCTTCACCTTAACTGAGTTGAATACACACATAGCATGTCAACCTATCTCTTAAAATTGATCTACAATTCTCTTAAAGTATTTTGTTTCTCACACATATCCTCTCTCTAGAGAATATTGTACAAATTTTAATTTTCCCTTTTTTTTCCTTTCACAAACAAGACATTTAAATGGTTCACATTTGAATATAACAACTATTCTGGTGAAATGGTTATCTCTTATAAGAGGAAACCAAAGTAGAACTGTGCATAGGTTGGTAATTTCATCTGAATATTTTTTTTATGCTTGTGGGGGATAGGACCCTTTGGTTGACCAGGAGATAATATTAAAATATGAACTCCACCTCAGCTCAAATGATTGCTTTATAAATCATTGCCATGTTTGCACTGCAACTGGGGGAAATTTAAACTTCCAATATGTGTTTGGGAAAATTCAAAGGACTAGGCATATCTCTGTCTGTTCCTAGTCTGACACGTGGGAAAGGTTGACAAAATGTTTGTGTGCTAAAGAGTGTTGAGGTTTTCCATTCTCTGTATTCCTGATCCGTAGACCCAGGGCACAGCTAGGAAAGAACGCTGTTAGAATATTAGAGGTGTGCAAAAACTTGAAGCACTGTGTACTCACATCTGAGTTTCACCTCTCACAGAAAGGCCCATCATTTCTGGATTTACTACAGAATCTCACAGTGTATAAAAGGCCCCCTATAGAAAGAAGGTTATCTTGCCAGGATGTTACAAGGCTATAAAGAAATGTGCCAACCTATCTGTGCCAAGCTACCTAACGGGAGTTCACCTCCTACTGACTCCAGCGTAGAACCCTCACAGATTTCAGGCTGAACTAGCACTGGCTCACTTATCTCCTAAGCTATTCTTTCACAAAGCACTGAAATGTGCCATCAGGTACACGTGAGTTACAATCACAGCTAACTTGCCAGGTAAGACTTTTGCCCTTGAAGGGGATATTAAGCATCTTGTGAATTTATAACTCCAAGGCACAATCAGTCCCAAATTAAGGGGACAGTGGATCAGTTTACTTCTATGAATTCCCTCAGGCCATCTCCTTTAGATTTTTTTTTCCTCCCCCTTCAGAACCTTTCTCCTCTTAGGTACTTAATAAAATTGGCTCCCTAGACAGCTTCAGTTACCTGGACATTCTGGGAAGGATAGCACATTGGGAGTTTATCAAACCTAACAGCCAATATATTGAAGCCTCAGAGACAGGATTGCAGAAGGGGTGAAGTCAGAAGACTCCAATTGAAGGGGTAAAGCAATAACAAGTCAATAAGTGCAATGTCAGCCCCATCCTCTCAGACTGTCCCCCCCCGACCCAAGATGCCCATTCAGTTACCAACTGTGAAGTCAATTAGCTTGTTCTGTATTCCATGTGAACATCTCAAAACATCACTTAAGAAGAGTAATTTCTGGAGTATAATCAAATATCAGCATTACATTGCACCGTTTTTATCTCTATGGAAGTTTCGAGTCTCTAAGGAATTATTCAGAATCCCTCCAAGCCTCAGTATGTTCATAGATGCAGCACATTTAGGAAAAAAAAAAAAAACTTTGATTAATATTTTAGTGGCTTGAAATAAAATTTGAGAAAAACATGCAATACAAATAAACCCCTTACAGCATAAGAATTTCATTCCTTTATAAATATTTGTGAACACAAATATTTTTGAAAAATTATCTTGCAGAATCAAAAAAAAACTATTTTTAATTTTATTCTTAATGTCCTAGTGATTTGTTCAAAGAAAAATATGCACTCGAAAAATATACACTTATATAGAGTCCTGCTTATCACTTCTATTTCCATTTTTCTCCCCAAAGGTAACCACTATTACTGATTTGGCATACAGCTATTCCTTGGAATCCACAGGGGATTCCTTCTGGAATTTCTGCAGATACCAAAATCTGTGGATGCTCACTCACATCCCTTATATAAAAAGGCATGATATTTGCATACAAACTACACACATCCCTGGAATACTTTAAATCATCTCCAGATTACTCATAACACGAATACAATGCAAATTCCACACCAATAGTTGTTATAGTGTATTGTTCATGGAATAAGGACAAGAATAATAAAGTCTGCTATGTTCAATATAGACACAGTTTTATTTTCAAATATTTTCTATCTGTGAATGGTTGAGTCTACAGATGGAGAACTCATGGATATAGAGGATTGACCATCTCTCATATTTTTGAGTACATGTTACAAGTAAGGTTAACAATTGTCATCCGGGTTTTCTCTTAGAATATAGGATTAGTTCAGGACATTCGACATGAATACTTAATTAAGTATTTGGTATTTTCAAACATAAAACTTGTCTTCTTCAAATGAAGTGAGGATGTCTTTGTTTTGTTTTTTTTTTTTTTTTCAAATCATAAACCTAAAGAAAGTAGAGAAGTGAAGGACCAGAAGGGTCAAGGCCAGTTATTAGTTGGAGCAATTTACATTTTTAATAACTTCCAAGGGTCAGGCAGTGCCATCTTTTAACTGCATATCTATCAACTCCTCAGTGTCTGTTTCTTACTCTATTTGCATAAGCAATTGACAGCTCATTAAGAGCTCATTAGGAAAAGACCCTGTGATGGGGGGAATAGAAAAAAAAAATTGGAAGAGTTCTTAGAAGGAATTTTATTTGTAAGTGTTCTCAGCATCTCAACAAGAATACAAAACACATCTATGATATTTTCTAATGAAGGTGATAAGCGATATACACTTGAAAAATGTAAACAGATACCAATACAACCCTTCATTATATCTGAGCCTGTTTGGCTTGATAGCAAAGGATGATATGGTGATAGAACCCATAACTCCATATTTTATCATAAAAGAAAAAGCTGAAAAACTCCACATTCTCAAACTGAGTTTTTCTTTCTTATACATACATGCATACACATAGATATAATTATATATTCTCTTAAGTTTTGGGTGGCTGTAAATTGGAGAAGCCAGATAATCTGATTGTTGAGGAATAATCTATAGGCAAAAAGAAATTGACTACCTTCTTCCTGGTAAACTGTGTCCAGCATACAAAATTAGTTCTTTTTTTTTTTTTTTT